ATATATGTCAAAAGGTTTGTCACATTAACATTTTTTACATGTACAATTTAGCAATTTAGTGACATTAATTACATTCATCGTGTGCAACTATCACCACTTTTTGTTTCCAAACTTTTCCATCACCCTTAACAGTAGTTCAATGCCCTCTAAGCAATAACTCCCTCTTGCTCCCTTCTTCCTGTCCTTGGTAACCACTAATGAACTTGATCTCTATTTGTTTGCCTATTCTAAGTATTTCATATATGTGAGATCATACAATATTTGTCCTCTTTTAACTGATTTATTTCACTCAGAATAATGTTTTCAAGTTTCATCCATGTTGTAACATGAATCAGGACTTCAGGAAATACATAGCTTTTAAATGTTAATTAAAACAACAAGAACAACCAGCAAATGTAGCAGAGATTTAAGGTCTGCTAATGTAGATTTGGAAAGGATCACTGGTGGCACAGTGGTTAAGCACTCAGATGCTAAATGAAAGGTCAGCAGTTCAAACTCACAGCTCCTCCACGGGAGAAAGATATGGCACTCTGCTGTCTGTGAGTTGAAATTGATTTACAGCAATGAGGTTATGTAGCATCAGAGTCCCTGAGTGGTGCAAACGGTGGTGCTTGGCTGCTAACCAAAAAAATTGGAGGTTCAAATTCACCCAGAGGCACTTGGGAAGCATGGCCTAGTGATATACTTCTGAATAATCAGCCATTGAGAACGCTATGGACCATAGTACTACTTTGACACACATGGAGTCTCCATGGGTCAGAATCTGGAAACTGTCAGTGTAGAGTTATAGGGGACAGATCTGGGAACAGAGAAAGAAGGAGTGGGGAGGTGGAAAATGAAGACATAGAGAAGGAGCAGAATTTTACCAAGCTTCTCTGGGCCTCAGCTTCCTCATCAGTGAAAAATCAATAAATATTTATTGAATGTCCAGTTTGTGCCAGATATTGGAGATATGACTGGCACATAGTGAGTGCTCAGTAAGTATTAACAAAATGAATGAATGTAATGAGCTTTTAGGGATAAGTAAGGCTTGTTCTAATGGACAGATTGGATGGTGCTGCAGGCCTGGAAGTATGCAATAGTCCAGTGAGTTTGGGTCACCAAATGGGGTTGTGAGGGTAGAAAGGAGGAGGCAGGTTGAAACTGGCACATGAGAAAGGGCTTTCAACCCCAGTTTAGGAGAGAAATTTTGCTTCTGAAGGTGTGGGGAGCCATGGAGGGTTTCCATGAAGGACTGGGGATCCTATCCTGAGATGTGTGATTTCCCTTTAGGCACTCAGGAACGTTACAACCAGACCTTCTCAGCTCCCCCAAACTGTTGCTTCTGTGCCTAAGACCTTTGTGTCATCCAACGGCCCACCTCATGGGTGGGAAAACTTAAGGAAAGCCAGGGAGGATTGGGGACTGATCTAGCATTCACTTGGGGCAACAGTCTGGCATCATCTTGTAAAATTAAAGCTATGCGAACCCTACAACTTACTGATCCCCTCCTGGGTTACTGTAAGCTGGAGAGATAGGCATCCCCACATGGACTAGGAGCGTGCATAGCAGTGTGGCTCCCAATAGCAAAACCCAGAAATAGCCCAAATGTCTATTAACAGGAGATGAATGAACAAACTGTACTGTCACAATAAAATGCCATACAGTAGTGAAAGTTAACAACTACTGCTACAGGCAAACATGAGTCTTAGGAACATACATGAGAGAGACTGGACACAGAGCATAGTGATTAAGAGTGTGGACTCTGGGCCCATCCTGCCTGGATTGCAATCTAGGCTCTACTCCCTGCTGACTGGGAGACATAGGGGAAGTGATTTAACTATGCTGTGCTTCAGTTTCCTCATCTGCAAAATGGAATCGGTAATAGCATGCACCCCATAGGCTGTTCAAAAAAAAAAAAAAACTTAAAACCTACTGTCATTGAGTTGATTCTGACTTACAGTGACCCTATAGGATAGAGTAGAATTGCCTCATAGGGTTTCCAAGGCTGTATACCTTTTTTTTTAAATTATTTATTGTGATTTGGGTGAAGATTTACACAGCAAATTTGCTTTCCATACAGCAGTTCACATATACTTTGTTGCATGTCATTGACCACAGTTTACAACAATGCAACAGCTCCCCTCCCACTTCCTCCCCATAGTTACCTCTTCCCAGTGTCCATCCCTCCATACTCTCCTGCCCCCTGAGCTGTCTCCCTGTGC